TGTGTGTGTGTGAGTGTGTGTCTGTGTGTGTGTGTGTGTGTGTGAGTGTGTGTGTGTGTGTCGCTACCTCAGAATTACAAGTGAGTAGTTGGCAGTTGCTCTGGTGTGGTTTGCTTCTTCTTTCCTATCAAACATCTTTCGTCCTGCTCTCTCCTCCTATTTTGTGTTTGTTACTCTCATGTAACACCTCTAATCTTCGGCACTTATATTTACCTTGTTATGTTGCAAGTGCCATAAACCATGTACTAAAACTTTAAAAAGCCAAAACAGAATTACAAAGTTTGATCTGCTCAGTTCCTAGTTTTGAGAAATTTGACGTAAAAAAATGTTGAGTTTCACATGTCAAGCTTTTTGCGAAAACAGTTCTTTAGATATCTTGGTAACAGCTCCGGATATAGAACAATTCTTACATGTTGTTTCTCAGTTCTGACTAAAATATAATAATCATTTTCCTACTTTTACGGCTTGTTTTTATCATATATTTTTTTTCTAAGAATAATGATGATGATGATGATGATGATGATGCTGTAGCGGGTCTGCTGTGAAGAGTGGACATCTTTGTTTGATCCACTAGCAATTGGTAATTGTATGTGGTGTGTGTGTAATGCACATTTCAGCTCTCTAAGGTTTGAAGTTAACGTCCACTTGCGGTGGGACCAGGACAAATGGATGGCCTGTCTGAAAAATGTCCCTCTCAAACAACTTAAGTTCCAGAAAGTTCCCGTTAGGATTTGAACCTGAACCATCTGCACTATAGATACCAGCAGGGCTAATGGCCCACCCTTGCAACAAAATCCAAAACTAAGTTGAAAGGAAAGAAAAGAAATGGTTTAATGTTGTTCTCTCTATTGGAAATTTTGTCACTTTTGCTCAGGCGCTGGCAGCTGTGAACTCCAGGAAAATGAAGTTCTCTCTGATGAGAGGCTCCTTCGGCGAGACTGGCATCAACGAGTTCCTCCGCGATCTGTCCTACGGCAAAGGGTCCACGTCTCCGCTGAAAAATGCTAAATTGCCGGAAATTGCCAAAGTGGAAGCTTGGGATGGAAAAGATGGAGTGGTGAGTGTTGTGGTCACGTGCTATAGCGAGTATCTCGGGGAGTTTGTGTTCTTGTACACTGTGACTGACAACTGGCGTTCTGTGATGTAGGGGTTAGTTAGTTAGTTATTTATTTTTGTAAGTGTTTTACGACGCTCAGAACTGCATAAGGTCATATAAGTGTGTGGGACACATTAAACATTTTTAGTTGGTAGGAAAGCGGTGACAAAAGCAGACGACAGAACATTGTTAGAGAGCAGGAAAGGAAGTGAAGGATTGAATTTTAGAGAAGAAAATTTTCTGGTCGCTGTCTAGATTTGAACCCGGGACCTAATGAATGAGAGGCAAATACCGTAACTTCTCGACCAGGAGAACCTCCCATATTGGGGTTAGGAGCTTTGGCATCACGTGTAAAAGACTTGAGTTTGATTTCTGTGGGGGGAAGATTTTTATCGAGTTTCTCAGCCTTTCTGCTAGGATGTTGTATCATCTCTCTCAGCCCAGACTCGCCATAACAACTTGAAGTCTGCTTTCTTAATGATTCAAATTGTGTTGATGATTTGAAAAATTTGAAAACCCCCCAACAAAACAACTGACTATTTTGGTTTCTTTATTTGCCTTTGCTTTTGATCAAAGCAACATATTTCAATTGAAATTTCACCTACAAAGACCTAGGACATCAGCATCTAAATCTAGAGTGGAATGTTCATATTTCTAAGCCCATTCTAAGGCGTGTGTGTGGCTGGTAAAAGCCGGTATGGTTCTACAGTGGGAAAGCCGGTAAAAACCTATATGACAACGTGACGGGAAGGCTGGTTTAGGCTGGTATGGCTGAAACAGGGTTAAACCTTGACACCCTTAGTTTTGCCAGACTAGCTATTTTTGATAGTATGTGGAGATTTGTCTTTCATTGTGTGGGATACGGTTACGCCTAAGTATTGTGGCTTCTTGTTGCCCTTTTTTCCCCGCAAAACGTAATTGATGACGGTGTCCGTATCTGTTTGAGGATCTGTTTGTACTTCTTGGAAATCGGATTCTTTTAATACTTGCTGTGGATGGTTGGCGGGTGTTTTGGTATGGTTTGCTTCTTCTTTCCTATCAAACATCTATTGTCCTTATCTTTCTTCCTTTTTTTGTGTATTTTACTCTCTTGTTACTCATCTCTGTACTTCAGCGCTTGTATGACCTTATTGTGTTGCAAGTGCCGTAAAACTCTTACTAAAACTAAAACTTGCTGTACTTGTTTGATGCCTGTGGTGTTGTCAGTGAGTGAGTGACCGACAGGTTTGAATGTCTATAGTTTGTATTTTAGATACACTCTCTTGCGGGTAATTGGCGGGTGCTTTGGTGTGGTTTGCTTCTTCTTTGCTATCAAACATCTATCGTCCTTATCTCCCCTTCTTCTTTTTAATGTTCGTTACTCTCTTGTAACACCTCTAATCTTCTGGCGCTCATATGACCTTATGCAGTTGCGAGCACCGTTAAAACCTCTACTAAAACTATAGTCTCCGGCACTTACACGGCTTTATTGTGTTGCAAGTGCTGTAAAACTCATACTAAAACTGAAACAGGTTCTTTTTTGTTGTTTTGACATGTTTGTGATTAAAAATTGTTTTTTTTTCCCCCTGTCTTTGCAGCTCGAGGTGGAAGAGGATATAGATCTAAGCGACGTGGATCTAGACGATTTGGACAAGGATGAGTTGTGAACTGACCAGTGAAACATATCGTCCCGTCTGATAAACTGTAACATCATCACAACCATCAGAACCGTTTCTGCCTTTTTGTGGACATTGTCATTCAGTTATCACGTATCATGAGTTATTTGTCATTCTCTACTATGCCTCATCAGATGATCAGCTCCCGCTAGGTTTGAAGACAACGTAGTGCGTGCAATTGTCCAGTTTTGCTGACTGCTCCTGTGGTATTTTTTTAACAACCTCGTTATCTTGGAAAGAGTGAGAAAGCATTTTGTTTGTAGCTATAGTGTTGTGGATTTATCCGTTTTGATTGTTGATGCTCAATGAATGAAATGAACAAAATTGTCCCTGGACGCGGCCCCAACCGTCCATAATCCACCTGACATAAGGTTTTTATTTTCTGAGGAGAACTGGTTTTCACCTTTTTTTTAAAATTTAAAAAAAAGTCAGTTTTGACAGTGTTGCTTTTGTAAAGCCATTCTCATTTCAAGGTGTCTTTTGTAACCATGATCATGACGTGTGCTGATCCTGGTTTTTGGGGGGTTTTGTTTTTTTCTTACATGGTCTCTATTTGCTTTGCGTGTAAACATTTTATTTTGCGAGCGGGTTAAAGTAAAGATTCATTTACCATGGTTGGACTTGAAGTATTTCGGGAGGCACAGTGGCACTTTTTGTTCATATTGAGAGTGTCTGCTGGTGGGGTGGGGGGAGGAATGTGTGTGTGGCTGTGTGGAGAGGGAGGGG